GTACTGAAAGCTACAGCAATTAAAACAGTGTGATACTGGCATAAAGACAGACATATACCCAATGGAACAGAATTGGGAGTCTGGAAATAAATATTCACATATACAATAATGATTTTTTGAGAAGAGTGCAAAGACCATTTCATGGGGAAAGGACAGTCGTTACAGCAAATGATACTGGGAAAACTGGATATCCACATGCAATAAGAATGAGATTAGAATCTTAACTAACAACCACATATAAAAAATAATTGAAAATGTATCAGAGTTCAAACATAAAAGCTAAAACTAAAAAAACTTAGAAACAAAAGAAATGTTTGTGACATTGGATTAAGCAGTGATTTCCGGAGATGTCATTAAAGGCACAGGCAACAAGAGAAAAATAAACAAATTGGACTTTATGGAAATTAAAAACTGGCTCAGTTGGTTGTCATCTTGTACAACAGAAGGTTGCTGGTTCAATTCCCCATCAGGACACACATCCAGGTTTCCAGTTCCATTCCTGATTGGAGTGTGTGCAAGAGCTATCCCATCAGTGTTTCTCACATCAGAGGTTCTCTTCCCTCTCCCTTCCTCTCTCTAAAAGGGAAAATTTTTTTAAAAATCAATAAAATGATGTCTATTACAAAAAACAACACAGTGTACATCAAATGACACTATCAACTGAGTGAAAAAGCAACCTGCAAAATGGGAGAAAATATTTGCAAATTACATCTGACAAGGAATTACCGTATTTTCTGGTGTATAAGACGACCCCCTAATTTTACAGTTAAAACATAGGTTTTGGCCTATATTCGCTGTATAAGACTACCACCCACTTCAAAGAAAAGACTTACTTTGCCCTCAAGATCTGCAGGTAATTTTTGTGCAATTTTGGTCTTTTGCCCCTGATTTTCAGTTGACTTTTTTTTTTTTTTCCGTTTCAAAAGTCGTCTTATATGCCAGAAAAATACGGTAATATCTAAAATTATACATAAAAAAATCCTATAACTTAACAAAACACACAACCCAATTCAAAATTAGGCAAAGAACTTGAATAGACTTTTCTCCAAAGAAGTTATACATATGGCCAGGAAACACATTAAAAAAAATGTTCATCATCATTCACTAGTAGTCAGGCAAATACTACTAATCAAAACCACAACTTCATGCCTATTAGAATGGCTATTACCAAGAAAACAGAATACGGAGAAATTGAAACACTTATACACCATTGGTGGGAATTTAAAGTGGCAGAAGTGCTGTGGAAACAGTATGGCAGTTCCTCTATTAAACATAGAATACATATGACCCAGTAATTCCATTTCTGGGTATATACCCAAAATAATTGAAAGCAGGGTCTCTTAACAAATATTGTTATACCCATGTTTGTTGCAGTGCTATTCACAATGGCTAAAAGGTAGAAACAACTATCCATCAATGGATGAATGGATAAATAACATGTAGAATAGTAAACAATGGATAAATAAACAACAAAATATTATTTGGCTTTAAAAAGAAATAAATACAGATATATGCTACAATATGAATAAACTTTGAAGACACTATGTCCAGTGAAATAAACTATTCATAAGGACAAATATTTTATTGTTCCACTTACTAGTATATAAGTTACCTGGAATAATCAAATTCATAGAGACAGAAAATACAACAGTTGTTACCAGGGATTGGTAGGGAGATAAGAGTGGTGGGTAATCAGTATGGGATGATGAAAAAAGTCTGGAGCTGGATAGTGGTGATGGTTGCAAAATAATGTGAATGGATTTAATGTCACTATATACTTAAAAAGTAAAAATGGCATTTTTCATGTTTATTGGCTGTCTTTCTGCTTTCTGTAAATTGATTATTCCTTTTATCTTTTTTAATATGTTTTATTAAACATATTAAAGTTAGAAAGACAGATGGAGAGATAGAAATATCAATGAAAGAGAAACATCATCCATCAGCTGCCTCCTGCATGTACCCCTACTGGGGATCGAGCCTACAACCTAGGCACAGGTCCTGGCTGGGAATTGAACCTGCAACCTTTTAATTCCTGGGTCAATGCTCAACCATTGAGCTACACCAGCTGGGCTTATGTCTTATACTACAATTTAAAAAAACAAAAAACAGTTACTGCTCTGGCCAGTTTTCTCAGTAGTTAGAGCATCAGCCTGTGGACTAAAGGTTACCAGGTTGATTCCCTGTGAAGGGCATGAACCTTGGTTGCAAGTTCCCCAGCCTAATAGGGGCGTGTGCAGGAGGCAACCAATTGATGTCTCTCTCTCTCCACCTGCCTCCCTTTCACTCTCCCTAGAAAGCAATGGGGAAAATGTCCTCTGGTGAGGATTAAAAAAAAAATTTTTTTTAAACAAAAACAATCACAGGTTTGATTAAACATCACAGGTTTGAACTGTATGAGTCCACTTATATGCAGATTTCCCCCCCAATACGGATTCTTGGAACGTCTTTATGAAATTTCCTTACCACCATGAAGCAGTCATGTTAATTATACTATGCTACAATTAAGCAAGTGTATTGCTGTTTTAAAATATCAATGCAGGTGTCATTATATCTGAAATAAATATAAATTTATTTTTCACATTAATCTGTCATCTTTTTTTTTTGTTAATCTTCACCGAAGGATATTTTCCCATTGGTTTTTGAGCTCTTTTTATGTCAATGCAAATATATTCAATTGCTGTTCTATAGTATACCTGTGTCATAGTTTAACTATTCTGTTGGAGGAAGTTTGAAAAGCTTTCAGTTGTTTGCAGTTACAAACAGTGCTTTAATCAGCATCCTTTTACATATACACATCTATCCTAATGTAGAGAGTAAAAAGTAAAATTTCTAGGCCACAAAAAGTGAATGTACTTTTTTAAAAAATGGATTCTGCCTTGTTTCCTTCTGAAGTAGTTCCTTCCAACTTAAATTCCTACCAGCACTATATAAGAGTATCTTTATTCCCTACACCTTCAACAATCATCAGACTTTGAAAGTTTGTTTCCTATTGATGAATTTTTACACTAAAATGTAACTTGTGGTTTTAATTAGCATTTCTCTGATTACTAATTAAGTTGAGCATTTTTCATGTTTATTGGCTATCTTTCTGCTTTCTGTAAATTGTTTATTCCTTTTGCCTGCTTATATTAGGCTATTTTGTTTCTATTTTGGTTGATAGTTCTTTATAAGTCTTTGCTTATATAGGTTGCATATATTTTCATTGTGTAACAAAATATTCCTTTATCATCTTTGTTGCATATATTTTCCCACATCTGTTTGTCTTTTACGTGTTCCTTTTTTTCCATTCTAATTGGCATTGTTTCTTCCTTTAAATATTTGGCAGATTGACCAGTGGAGCCATCTGGGCTTAAAGTTTTTTTTTTGTTGGAAGATTTTTAATTATAGTTTTAATTTCTTTAATAGTTTACATAACTAATCATATTTTCTATTTGTTTTTATGCCAATTTTGGTAAGTTCTGTTTTTCTAGGAATCTGTTTACTTATTTAAATTGTGAAATTTATTGGCAATAATGTAGTGATCACCATGTATTTTTTTAAATTTGTAGGATATGTAGTGATACATATAACTATCAGAAATTGCTTATTTCTGATAGTTATATGTATCACTACTTTTTCTTGTGTGTGTGTTTTTTTATTATTCATTATTGCCAGAGATATCAGGGTTTTTAAAAATATGTTTTTATTAATTTTTTATTAATATTTTATTAATATCAGTAGCAAGTAATAAGCATATTATAAGGAGCATCAGGCATTCTCCTTCTGTCTGTAGATATATGAGCTCAGCTACAGTAGATAGCATAATAAATAGAGATTAGGGAAGAAGAGGGACAGAGAAATAGAAATATCAATAGAAACAGCAACATCAATTGGCTGCTTCCTGCTCAATGCCCAGAATCTGGGCATGTACTCTGACTGGGAATCAAACTGGCCAGCCACCTCCTTGTATGCAGGTCGATGCTCAACCCTTGAGCACACTGGCCCGGCAGGAATATCAGTTTTATCTTTTTCAAAGTACCAATTTTTTGTTTATTTTAATATTTCCCAGTGTATATTAATTTCACTTCTTTTTGAAGAATGTTTTAAGTGGGTATGGAATTCTGGCTTGATAACAATTTTCTTCCAGCTTTAAAGATAGCATCCTGTTATTTTCTGGTTTTTATTTTTCTTTCAGTCAGCTGTTTGTATTACTGCTGCTTCATTGAAAATACTTGTCTTTTGTGTGGGTAATTTTAATATTTTCTCTTTTGTCCTTGATTTTGTACAGTTTGAATAAGATGTCTAGCTGTCTTTTGGGGGTAATTTTGAATTTTCATCTTTTCCCTGTTTGATATATGTACTTTTTAAGTGATTATTTAATGGAATCTGCCTTTTCTTTTGTAGTTTCTATTACTTATTCTGTGTTGGAAAGACCTTAACACACTCACCTCTCAGGTGTTGAAAAATTCTAGTCTGGGTTTTCTATGGAAATAATTTTAATGTAGAGTAGATGGAGATCAAAATTATTTATAATGCTACATCTCCAGATCCTATATAATAAAAGGCAAATATGCAAATAGACCGAAAGACAGAACAACCAGTCATTATGGCACACACTGACTACCAGGGGACAGACGCTCAATGCAGGAGCTGTCCCCTGATGGTCAGTGCACTCCCACAGGGGTGAGCGCTGCTCAGCCAGAAGCTGGGCTCATGGCTGGCAAGCGTAGCAGCGGTGGCAGGAGCCTCTCCCATCTTTGCTGCAGGCGGACATCCCCCTAAGAGTCCTAGACTGCAAGGGGTCACAGGCCAGGCTGACGGGACCCCCATCCCCCAGTGCACAAATGTCATGCATTAAGCCTCTAGTCAATTATAATAGCAAATCAGTCATTCTAACAATTTATTAAATATTTTAATTTAACCATTTATTTTCCATGTTCATCTTAATAGCTGCTTCTGTTTTCAAAGGAATATGCTTTAATCGGCTTTTATTTCATCTCTGTCCCTTACCAATTTTCCAGGACAGCACCAGTGTTTTTCATGTAAGGTATCTGGTACAGATGTGAAGCGTTGCTCTGTCGGTACTTGTGGGAAATTTTATCATGAAGCCTGTGTCCGCAAATTCCCCACTGCCGTCTTTGAATCTAAAGGATTCCGCTGTCCCCAGCACTGCTGTTCTGCCTGCTCTATGGAGAAAGATATCCACAAAGCAAGTAAAGGTAAAATAAGGAAGGGGACAAAGTATTTAAGTTCAGTAGCAAGTAATAAGCATGTTGTTATAAGCAGCATCAGGCATTCTCCTTCTGTCTGTAGATATATGAGCTCAGCTACAGTAGACAGCATAATAAGTAGAGATTAGGTTCTCATTCAGACAATGAGAAGAAAATTCCATATGTTCAAAATTACCCTTGGGAATTCCTTAAAGAGCTGCCATATTGGGAGACCACCATCTCTCCAGCATCAGAGCAGACAAATTTTTCTTTGATTTCTAGATGGGTGCTACATGTAGGAGCCATATAGCATAGGAATGACAGAGCCAAACAAGTAGAGAAAATATTTTTATCTTACTATATTCAGCATTACATGGGAACCCAAAAGACCCCAACTCCGAAAATTTCACTTTATTTATCCAGCTGATGCCTTATTATGTAGATTCCTTTTTTACTTTAAACAGGTCGCATGATGAGGTGTTTGAGATGTCCAGTAGCCTATCACTCTGGAGATGCTTGCATTGCTGCCGGAAGCATATTCGTGTCCTCCTACATTCTCATCTGTAGTAATCATTCCAAACGGAGCAGTAATTCGTCCTCTGCTGTAAATGTAGGCTTTTGTTTCGTTTGTGCAAGAGGTGAGTGTCAGTCATTTCTCTTAGTTCTTTCTGAGTTCACTGGCATTAAAATAGAGTTTCAATAATATCCCCAAGAGAGATGAACATTTCCAGTAGGTAGCCCCTTTTATATCATTAGACATTCAAATTGTTAAAATATTAATTTTTCCATAAATTAAGCTAAAGTCTGAATTTTTTAATAACTTAGAATTACGCATAAGTTCTTAGCATTTCTACTTGGAGCATCAAAAGATTAATCTATTTCCTTCTGCAAACAATTCTTTTATTCAAAGCAGGCTCTTCCCAAATCATATTCTTTAATCGAGAGCTTGCAACCTTCACTTTGGAAGGCAAAATGAGCACATTTATTTTTTAATCGTTTATGTCGTATTTTATCATGTTTTGCTCTGGCATTAAGGAAGGCCTGATGGGATACAGCCAAAGCAACATGTGGTGGTGGTAGTTAAGAGGCAGAAATGCAGGCTGTTGATATGTAGGTATGTCAAGAGATGGATCAACTAAAATAATATTGTGTCCCTCAGGGGGGTCAGTGAGCTTGAGTTTGTGAGAAACATAAAATAGAACTTCATTAATTGAATACGATACAGAATATTTATCTTTTTGTTTTCTTTAAGAGACAGTTCTTTTAATTTGGTGAAAGTACCATAAAATATTTTAAAATAGAATTTAGGTAGTAGTATAGAACTTGAATTGCTTTACTTTTGTGTCTCACAATTTTAAAATAATAACTAGAGGAAGTGGGCGGTAAAAGTTTAAATAAATGGTATCCTTTCTGGAGCAGCCCGAGGAGTCCATTGTGTGTACTGCTTTCAGTGCCAGAGTTTTGTAAGCACTGGGGCTGTCTGCTATTAGAAGGGAAGCATTGTTTCTTTCCTCACTAGAGCAATTACACAGTTGTATCCTTCTTTGAAACCTGCCTGGTACAAGAAGTAGGTCTGACATATTTTGTGCCTCATTGTAACAGGTGACTGAAACAATTCAAATAGTCAAGAGGAAGAAACCCCTCCCCAAGAAAATAATGATAGGATGGAAAAACTGACTTATCCAATTGAGTGGCTAGCTTTAGAGACCTTTAAACGATGAGTGTCGATGAGAATATACAGTTTCTATTGCTTTGTTAGTATTTTATTCTATCTAAGCACTTTCTTTTTTTACCAGGAGTATGTGTTTCTTTTACTAGTTTGTATTTCTAGTAAAAGTGAGTAAAAGCACTTAATTTTACTTTTAGTCACTTTTACTAGTAGTGTGTGTTACTTATTTTTACTCACTTTTACTAGTTTGTGTTTCTGTTTGTACATGTGTAACTGAGCCAACATTTTAAATATCACGTTACTAACTCTGATGTTGACGTACTTGGGAGTACATTTTGAATCAATCAAGAACCATCAGTATATTAACCAGTATTTTCTTTAGCTCTATTTCATTCAGTAATTGGGGAACCTTTAAAACAGGTTTTTTCAATTTAAGACAGGTAGAAAATGGCCCATTGTCAAGAAACCTTGTTATGTAGAAAATCTAGCCATTTTGTTAAATTTAACTTATATGCCTTGATTAAAAGCTTAAGATTATGGAAATAGGGAAAAATCCATGTTTTAACATTAGGATCTGTATTTGCATCTCATCAATTTGGCATTTATTCTAAAGTACTGCTATATTTAAATGCCCACTTAAGCAAGATTATTTAATTCCCCAAGTATTTTAACTGGGACTTTATCCAGTAAATGGTAACTTTCATTTTCCTTTCCAGAATTTTACCAAAACTTACCTAAATCAATCAAATGTTGGGATTTTGAGAAGGCTTAAAATTTTTTCAGAAATACATAATATGTGTTATTTATTCATTATTTATCTTATACAGTTTTTCCCTCCTCTGAGAGGATTTTTCTTAGTTCTTGGTTATTGCTTATTTAAAATCATTAACTAATCATGAGCTAATTCTTTTTTTAAAAAATATATATTTTATTGATTTTTCACAAAGAGGAAGAGAGAGGGATAGAGAGCCAGAAACATCAATGAGAGAGAATCATCGATCAGCTGCCTCCTGCACACCCCCCACTGGGGATGTGCCCGCAACCAAGGTACATGCCCTTGGCTGGAATCGAACCTGGGACCCTTCAGTCCGCAGGCCGACGCTCTATCCACTGAGCCAAACCGGTCCCGGCCATGAGCTAATTCTTAAGGATACAACTATCTAGAAATATTTTTAGAAATGTTTTACGGTTTGCAGGAGTGAGGAATGTATGGCCCAAGAAATCATTTGGTTTGGCTTTGCCAAGCCATTAGGGGTGAGATAATTAAAGTTTGACCAAATAGAGCAGGCTAATTTTTAAGCTGATAATTTTGTATGGCCTGGGAATGGTATTTCAAATATCCAAATGGTTTGGAGAAAACAGGTTCCCCATCCTTGGTTTAGAGGAACATTCCTCCTCCCTCACATTCTCCATGGTGCTTAGAAAATATTCAGTTAGCTGAAACTGGTTTGGCTCAGTGGATAGAGCATCGGCCTGCGGACTGAAAGGCCCTGGGTTCGATTCCGGTCAAGGGCATGTACCTTGGTTGCAGGCACATCCCCAGTAGGGATTGTGCAAGAGGCAGCTGATCAATGATTCTCTCTCATCGATGTTTTTAACTCTATCCCTCTCTTCCTCTCTGTAAAAAATCAATAAAATATATTTTTAAAAAAAAAGAAAATATTCAGTTACATTGTAGTGTCGCAAAAGTAGGTTTACATAATACAAGTAATACAATAATTAATAAATAATAATACAAGAATAAACTGTGTTTTGCATACTCCCACCTGTAAACCTACTTTGCCCACCCCTGAATATTATTGAGCATCTTCATCTGGAGGTTGGTGTAAAATAATAGATAACTTCTGTGCCTTTCTTTGAAATGGTAATTTTAAATGGAGAAGTTAGATTTGGGTTTTCTTTTGATTTTAATAATAATAGCAATTTATTTTGCATCTGTAAATCAAACTACTAGATATTATGTGAACGAATTGCTACAATTGCCATAAGAAGTTATTTCCTCATTTTATGTGGATGAGAACACTGAAGCCCAGATGAAATATTTACAAGTTGTTAAATAGGAGGACCATGTGTACCTGATCTTTCTTATTTTAAAACCCACGTTTTTGGGGTTTTTTTTACACCAACTTTTTCTATTAAATGTATGAAATTTATTTGATATTATATGCCTTTTATTACCAATTAGCAATTTCAAGTTCCATTCTGTCATCTGGATCAGAGATCTTTTTGGATATCTCAATATACAGTAGTACTAATGAAGATAAAATCCACAGAAAAAATAAATGGTATCCCTTTAAAAAATAAAACTTTTTCCTCTTCTCAAAATGATCTCTATGAAACTTGTCATGATTTTATTATAAAGTGCTAGATCATTATAATCTGACTAATAATCAAATAGAGAAATTTTCCCTGGTCTCACAGTTCCCCAGGTTTAGGAGTGGCCTTTATGTTATGAATTTAACTAAGTTAAGGGAAGGGAAATGGGAGGGAAAGAAGTGGATGTCACAGGTGGGTTAGAGAGGATCTTATCCCTCAAATAAGATAGCTGTATTGGTAAATCAAAAGGGCTCTTTATAAACCTTAAAGTTGTTAATCACTTTATATCAGGCATAGAAAAAATGGCTTGTATTACCTTAGTAAAGTTCAACGAAGTATGTCCCCTTTAAAATCACATATTGTATTGATAGAGAAAAGCTTTATTATCTGGCAGAAAAAGCTAGAACCTGTTTGAGAATATCTAAAACATGAATAGGGAAAAGTAGAGACTCAGTTCTTCCTTTATATTATGGATATATTTCTTATTTCTAGCAATTAAGTGATTTGTTATTTTGTTCTCTGGATTGTCATCCAGTACTTCTAAATATATAGTACTTCTAAATATTAAGGAATGTGGTTTTATTTTTCATAGAGAGTTTTTCATATGATGTTAAATGCAGTTTACATCTTCAAAATTAATTTGGCATTTTCTTCTGGGTATATAGGTTTCTACGTAGGAAATAAGGCATTGAGTTGCTTAAACTCCCTCTAATAACTATAGATAGTTTTTTTCTGTCAGATCTTTCTTTTTCTTCATACTTTCTTTTTTCCTCCCAACTTTAAGCACAGCTACATAATAGGGGTTGGTTTATTTTTTCTCCTCATGGAATCATGGGTAGTTTCATTGCAGTTCATCTCTTTCTGTTTGTTTCGTATAGGGCTAATAGTTCAGGATCATTCAGACCCCATGTTCAGTTCATATGCCTATAAATCCCACTACCTACTGAATGAATCAAATCGTGCAGAGTTGATGAAATTACCTATGATTCCTTCTTCGTCAGCTTCCAAAAAGAAATATGAGAAAGGTAATAACCAAAATAGTTTATCTCCTGCTTTCATTTTGCATTTCCTTTTTTTTTTTTTTTTTTTTTTAATGAAGGGGGGAAATGTATGCCTGTCAAGCACCATCTGTTGCTTTTCTACCTTGGTGGTTGTAACTGTCTTCATATGGCTGCAAATTTATTAAAAAGGGCTTAAAATAATTCCATTTATTGCAAATTTTTACTTACTCTTCTTGAATAAGTTTTCACACATTTCAATATGTAGGGGTTATTAAAATTGAAAGACTCAGATTTTGCTTAATGTAGAGGAATATTCTAAGGGCTCTTTCTCTTTTGCTGATGTAGAACTAACATCCATGTTAGAGTAGAATAAACACAATATAATTTGTTACTAACTTTTAACATAAGAATAGGTTGTTAAATAGAGGGAAATATACTGATACTTAAAGGTTTTATTTTAGAATACATTCTATCATTTTGTTTCTAAAATGTTTTGTTCAGTTGCTATGAAAACTAGTTGTCCTTCTGGAGGATACCCCAAATATTGGATATTGAAAGGCAGCCCAGCTGAGCTGAAAATTTGCTTATGGATAATCTATTATCCACAGAATCAGGCGCTACATGTATATTTATATTCTCCCAGTTAATTTAGTCTGTGGAAGAAAATCTTATTCTATGTTTAGCTTCACATAGCGTACTTATAATAAAGTTGAAAAGTGATTTAACAATAATGTATTATTTGGGAAGTTACTATCTCAGCGAGTAAATTAAATAACCTGGAAGGTGAACACCTTTTCCTATTTGCATTGCCATTATGATCTGGGGGCCAAGTGCAGATTCTTTAAAGAAAAGTTAATTCATACCTAATACACTGTGTACATTGGAAATTGGCCTCCTTTTTTTCCCTTTGTGTTGCCTGCTTGATGTATCTTTGTTCTTTGTCAGAATTCTTAAGTGGCAACCTACGACTAAAAGGAAGGATAACTAAGCAAGTTGATTAGAACCTAATGGAGAAGTAGAAGAAGTTGGAGAGGTATTAGGTTTTTTTGTTTGTTTTCCATTGAAGTCACCTTATTGGTGACACCACCTATTTCCAAAACAAAGATGGGCCTAGGCTTGACTAACTTCATAATGCAATAATATTAGACTGTCTGAGACAGTTTAGGAAATGCCTTATATTCCTGCTGGTGCCACTAAAAGGAGATTAATTCAATTGTTGCTTATTTTGTTTTCGGTACTTGGTATTAACCTTGACATAAATTGAAATTATTTTGAGCCCTCTTTTTGCTTAGCTTGAACCACATCTTTTCTTGCATCCTAAAGCAGTTTTCTTGCATAGCACCAAGGTGAATTGTTCATTTTTTTATTTTTCTATATCCTTATTTTTCTGTTTTTTGTTTTTGTTTTTTTGTCAAAAAATCATGATGATTTTCACTGATGATTCTCAATCTGTATTTCCTCTGAAATAAGACTTAAAATTCAGGACTATTCCATAACATTAAAAATGGCAAGCCTGACTTTCCCCATCAGCTCTAATAATGACATGCCCTCTGAAAGCTATTTGCGAAGGCTGTTCTCTCTATTGGTTCTTTCTTTCTGTTGTAAAATGGGCTTTCTCATTTTAGTTTAAACTTACAGAAGACTTCCTAGGCTAAGAACACTCAAACAGCTAATCTCTAGGTTGGGAATTGGAATTATTAATCCATATTGAGATGTGCAGACAAAGAAAGCTTTTAAGCAGAGGAAATATAGTAATTTAATTCATCACTGATTGTATATGGATTTTTCTTTTTGTTTTTATGTTAATCAGAAGTTTGAACGTCTGCAGTAAGATAAGATTTTCTGGAAAATTGATAGCTAACCCTCAAAAGGTTGGAGCATGTGATTTGATAAAATTGTATAGAAGGCTTCTAACCTTTAGCTAATGAGACTTTAAATCTTAGTGTACTTGTGGATTATAGACCTGATTTTCCAGAGGGAAGATGATGTTTTTGCAGTAAATGTCTTTATCATATTTCATCTTCAGTAGTTAACATTCTTCTCCATCACTTGTTGAAATGCCTGTTAGAAATGTCTAATCACTCCTCCATCTCTTTCATTTCTTTGCATTTAATAATATTTTGTTTTGTTTGCCACATCTGTTTTGGTCTTAATCCAGAGATCATTTTATGTATTTCAAAGGAGAGGATTTTCCTAGACAACTTGGAGGGATCTCCTCGCGTGTGGTACTTCATTCTACACTGATATTTACTTTTTATACTATAAAGCAGTGGTTCTCTATATGAAGTCAGAAAAGACTTATGGAAATAAAATTTTTAAACTAAATATTTTAGAAAATCTAATAGAAGCACACAGAATACAACTGCATGAGTCTCTTTATATTTGGCTATGATTTAAATATTATAGTGTGATAATGCTAGTTTTGTTATTGGATTCAGAAGCTCTGATTGGAGGTTTATATTTCTTTGGTTAATAACATAGAAAAATGTTATTTTTTTAATGTAGGGCCTTGTTTTGGTGTTTTATTTTTGGTTGATAAAATATTTGGAAGCATATGGGTTCATGAGTGAAGGGAAGGGGATCCTTGGTGATGAAAAAATTACAAACCACTGCTCTATAGCTTGTTTGACTTTGTTTATCTTCACTAAAAAGGTAATGATGATGTATGTAATCATCACCTTGAGCAAGTGAAATCTTTTTGTATTTCTGTACCCTTTTATGGGCAGTAAAAAGTGCTGTTCAACCTATTGCCTAGTTTCATTCTTGCTAATTTTATTATAAAGTGATTTTAGTCGACTATGGCACTGGATTAAAATACAAAGATGACCATTGCTTTCTTTCTTAGCTCTCAAGGAGAAAAGAAAGTAAGCTACTACATATTTCTTTGAAAATCTGCTCTCAAATTTACTCAGTCTAAAAATTTAATACACCTATTTTGTCATATTTTAAGAGTTTTATCTTCCTACTAAACTGATAGCTCAATAGCCCACGTTTTACAGGGGTAAGGAGTACAATAATGTTTCTCTTCCTATTCAAAAGCTAAGTTTCTGGCCATTGAAGTTCTGAAAAAGGGAAGAAGCTACAAATCTGTTCATTTGCTTTCTATTTTAATCCATTACCATAGATATGACTCCATCCTTTGTTATTTTCCTCCAATTTGAATCAAAGTTTATTCACTTAAATGATAATTTTCTCCTTTTTCTTTCTTTTTCTCTTTCCTCTTTTCTCAGTTATTAAGACTGTTTATTTGTTTCAAGGTGGAAGATTGCTCTGCTGTGAATCGTGCCCAGCTTCCTTCCACCCAGAATGCCTGAGCATAGAAATGCCAGAAGGCTGCTGGAATTGTAATGACTGTAAAGCTGGCAAGAAACTGCATTACAAGCAGATTGTTTGGGTCAAGTTGGGAAATTACAGGCAAGTTTTTCCAAGGACAAAGAGGAAGTATTCAATCATTTAGACCTAAGTTCATAAACTGTGTACAAACTGGCTAGCAGACAGGTGGAACAGCAGAGCTACTTCCTTAAAAAGAGAGAGAGAGAAGAAACATATATTTATTTTATTTTTTAAATATTTTTTGCCAAAACCGGTTTGGCTCAATGGATAGAGCGTCAGCCTGCGGACTGAAAGGTCGCAGATTTGATCCTGGTCAAGGGCATGTACCTTGGTTGCGGGCAAATCCCCAGTAGGGGTATGCAAGAGGCAGCTGATCGATGATTCTCTCTCATCGATGTTTCTAACTCTCTATCCCTCTGTCTTCTTCTGTAAAAAAAATCAATAAAATATATTTAAAAAATAAAATATTTTTATTGATTTTCAGAGAGGAAAGGAGAGAGAGAGATAGAAAGAAACATCAGTGATGAGAGAGAATCATTGATTGGCTGCCTCCTGCACATGCCCTACAGGGGGGATGTGCCCTGCCCGGGAATCAAACCGTGACCTTCTGGTTCATAAGTTAACTATCAACCACTGAGTCACACCAGCCAAGCAAGAAACATATTTTGAGTCTGGGTTTTTACAAGATTGAGAAAGTTAGTTGTGAATTTTTTTTTTGTTTTATTGGTTGGTTGGCTTTTGTTTTTAAGCTCCAAAAGTTGTTTTATGCTAATAAACTATGTACTACTAGATTTTGGAATAAAAGGTGTTATGTGGTAAATGGAGAAGATGTTTTCTTTGTGCCCTAATTAGTTTTATATTGATCTGTGATTCTAATAAAATCAAGTTTTTCCCTGGCCAAAATAGCTCTCTTTGCCCCTTAATCTGGTCCATACTTTAACCTGTGTGCAAAGAGAGAGATTTTTAGGATTTTAAGAGAGAAATTGTTTCATTAAAAGCCTTTAGCTCTTAAGAGAATACGAAGTAGGCATGATTACTATTATTTTAATAAGACTTTATCCTTTTAAGAAGCCTGTTTTTTTATACAAGCATAGGAATAGTGATGTATTTTTAAAACTTTGCATTCTGCATTTTGAGGTATAAGTTTATTGTTTTACTAAGAAAATAGATACTGTTCAAGAGAACACAATAGAATTCTATTTTTCTTTTCTTTTTTTAAAATATATTTTTATTGATTTGTTACAGAGAGGAAGGGAGAGAGATAGAGAACTAGAAATGTCAATGAGAGAGAACGCCGACCAGCTGCCTCTTGCACATCCCCTAACGGGGATGTGCCCGCAACCAACATAACATGGGCCTGACTGGAATCGAACCTGGGACCTTTCAGTCCGCAGACCAATGCTCTACCACTGAGCCAAACCAGTTTCGGCATAGAATTCTATTTTTCAATTAGAGTCCTAAATAAGATATATCTCTATATCTGTTTAACTTAAAAACTTTGTTATTTAGCTGAGATAAGTGGCATTGAGGTTGAGTAGCCCTCCCACTGTTTTTTTAATATATAACAAGAAATCTCCAAGTCCTAAAAAGATGGACAATTTGAATACATAAACAATTTTATACTGTATGGCAAACGACATTATAAAGTTTTAAAAAGCACATGTCAAACCAGGATAAAGTGTTTGCTTTTCTACTTTCAATAAGAAAAGACAAATAGCCGAAACCGGTTTGGCTCAATGGATAGAGCGTCGGCTTGGGGACTGAAGGGACCCGGGTTCGATTCCGGTCAAGGGCATGTACCTTGGTTGCGGGCATATCCCCAGTAGGAGGTGTGCAAGAGGCAGCTGATCGATGACTCTCTCATCGATGTTTCTAGCTCTCTATCTCTCTCCCTTTCTGTACAAAATCAATAAAATATATTTTAAAAAAAGAAAAAGAAAAGACAAATATCTTACATGGGGGGGGGGGGGTTGTGTGTGTGTGTGTGTGTGTGGAGACGGCGAAGAAGAGAAAGAGCCAGTTTGCAAAAGAATACCAAATGGAAAATAAACATGGAAAATGCTCAGCCTCACTAAAAAATAAATGTTCATTAAAAACAGAGAGGTTTTTTTTCCCTCTCTCTTAACAGATTGGCAAAGATATAAAAGAGTAATAATTTTGCGTCTAGGGAGGGCATAAGGAAATGAGTATTAAAATTGTAACTGTATACTCCTTGACTCAGCACTTCCCTTTCAAGAAATTTATGTAAGGAAAAAATGTATTTGTTGAGCTATTCATTGTGGTGCTATTCGAAATAACCCAAATACTCAGTCCATAAGGGATTTGTCAAATAAATTATATGATACCCGTATTGTAAAGTATCTTGAAGGCAATAAAAGAATAATGCAGGGCTGTATAGTAACATAGGGAGATACTTGCTATTTAGAATTTAGAAAACATGTTAAACAATATGTACATTATCTTTCCATGTATTTATATAATTTTTTTTAATTGTTGCTCTAGATGTAATATGTTTGTAATACCTGGAAAGAAACCTATCTAATGTTAATAGTGCTAGGCATGAGATTACAAGGAGAAGCATTTTCAGTTTTTCTGTTATACATTTGTGCATTGTTTTATTTTTAAAATAAACTCTGCTTTTATAATTTTTATATATATATATATATATATATATATATATATATATATATATATAGGAGTGGAGAGACATGGGTTTGACAATTACTAGATACATTCCTGGATAACAAATATCTAAAACAATATAAGAAACATTTAGCTATTCAAGTAAATTCTAGAATATTTTCTGTATATTTAATTTTATGGGGGGCTTGTTTTGAGATATTGCTGACTTATTAGTTTCAGTTGTATAACATATTGTTTCAGGATTTGTATATAGTATTGTGAAATGATCACCACAATAAGTCTAGTTAACATTTATCTCCATACATACTTATAATATTATTTTCTCCTAATGAGAATTTTTAAATCTACTCTCTTAGCAACTTTCAAATATATAATACAGTATTATTAACTATAGCCACCATGCTGTACATTATATATTTTCTTTTTTAAGAAGTTGTGAGTGTGAAAAGATCTTTGCCTTAACTTAAATACTTGAGTTTTAATTACATTGCATTTACAAAACCCCAAAGAACCCCAAAGCAGTTCTCCAGTTCACAGCCCAGTGAGATTTATATGCAGGTCAAATTCTTCTTGTATGTTCTGCAAAGACTTCCATCCATGAATTAAGTCTTAATGTATTTTTTCCAGTCAGGCCTAGCTGGGCCACATGAAGCTGTTTCTTTTCAGTATCTAGTTGCTCCAGTGTACAGCTTCCTGGGGGGAATATGAGGTCGTGGGACAACCCCTGGCACAGACCCCATGAATGCAGTCCTTATGTACATACTGAAATGCCTTTAAATGGTTTAGAAATAGCCATTTCCTCATCCACTTTAAGAGAAACCAAACACTAATTACACAGAACGGTGGTTTTGTTTGAACCATTTGAGCACAGGCTCTTGCCTGTGTTTTTCATTCATTCTTAGATGGACAGCAGGTACCTTTTAGATGAAGCGTGTTCAGATTCTGCCCTATAATCCTGAAAAATGTAGCCATGCTGTCATTTATCTTGTAAATAATACAATTGTTCATTAGATAAATGGCTTTATTAGGCACCTATACAATAAGTGACTGACAAATTTTAAGTTTTTGTATGATTACTGTTCATATTGATGGTTTTACATACTACAAAAGCTCCACCTTTCAATTTCTGACTTGCACAATTGCTGGAAATTGTCACATGCGCCTCACAGATGGTTTCATTTAGAGATTGCTGTGGTTTCAGTCATCATGGCATGAAACAGTTCTGTTTCATTCTGTCCCAAAGTCCACGTTTATTGTGATCCAAAATGAATAGATTTTGAAATACACTGATAAGTCTTTTTGGTACGTTTGACCAAAAAAGTATTTATCCTGAGTTAATAGAGTCAGAAAATGCTAATTTGAATGGGAATGGTTATTCTTTACTGTAGCATCAGTTTATTCTCAAATGAGCCCCTGGACTACTAGAAATAAACTTCTACATCTTGGAGGACGATGTTGATTTAAAAATGCCAAGTTTGGAGAAAAACAACTTTTTTAGGATAGAAATTTGGTTTGGAATGATATTGGTAATTTCTAATTCTTAAGGTGGGTCGTGGATTAAGTATTTTATTATGCTTTATAGCTTATATTTCCATGATATATATTATTTTACAAATATGAGATTTTTTAAAAGAAAGTCGCTAGATTGGGTGTTTAGGGCCTAGTTTCACTATTTCATTAACAAATTCATTAACCAATATGATTTTAAATGTTGAGTGGTTTGAGCACGATTAAAGATAATCAAGGTATTTTGTGTCCTTAGAGTTTGAATGAAAATGTCACGGTACAAAATCTCTTATTCCATCCTGCCAGCCATGTAAAGAATAGTTTGTTTTTTATCCCCTTTGCCTAAAATTGTTTTTGTTTTCAGATGGTGGCCAGCAGAGATTTGCAATCCCAGGTCTGTGCCACTGAACATCCAGGGCCTTAAGCATAACTTGGGGGACTTCCCTGTGTTCTTCTTTGGTTCTCATGACTACTATTGGGTGCACCAGGGCAGAGTGTTCCCTTATGTTGAAGGAGACAAAAGCTTTGCTGAGGGGCAGACTAGTATTAACAAGACCTTCAAAAAAGGTAAGTTGGATGATGTTTATGATGACTCAAAACTAAGACTCCAGAGTTGATTTCTCAACATCTTCCACCTCGCATATGACATACTTCTGGTAGTAGAGAATTTTCACCAGGTAACCCCATTAGAACCATGTCAGAATCTAATCAATTATAAAAATAATGTTTTCATTTTGGTAGGCTCTGCTGCGTAAGTGAGTGGAGTTTCTTCAGTGATCTTTCTAGACATAGATTTTTAGACACTGAAGCTTCTTTACCACTGAAGAGTAGCAGAGCTTCCCGTGGAGAGCCTTATAACTGGTTCTGCAACAAGGTACAGGAAGTTGGCCTTCTGGGCAAGAGCAAAGTGAATTTAAAGCTAGTGCCAGGTGAAAGGCTCCCCTGGGGTTTACTTGGAAGCCTCTGATCACGGAAGCAGAACCTCATCTCTGAGGCTGCAGCTTGCATAGAGCAGTGTTCAGCCAACAGTGAGTCATATCCTATTTCAGTGCTACCCTGTCCTGGTGGTAAGTAGTATTTCCAGAAACGATTTTTAAAAGAAAAAAGCGGCCCAGTTCAGAGCATTGGGAAGGCAGAGTAGAACTGCTTTCCCAACAGGTATTGTTTGTTTGTTGGCATTTATATACTTTGTTTGGTCTCATTGGCAGCTCTGGAAGAAGCTGCAAAACGTTTCCAGGAGTTGAAAGCACAAAGAGAAAGTAAAGAAGCACTAGAGATTGAAAAAAACTCGAAAAAACCTCCTCCTTACAAACACATCAAAGTGAGTCTCTACCCTGAAATTGGTATTGGACGGGCAAGATGAAGTGTAGTATTCTCTTAGTAGTGAGAGACTTCTGTAAAACAAACAGAGGTTTTGTTAGCATGTCATAGTCAGATGGGAGCGAGGGCGCTGGGAGCGGGAGCTGTGTGCTGTGGGGATGAGGTCTCAGATAAGCCCCCTGGCACCTGGGAGCAATGTGTTTGATGGGAAATCGTGTTCCTGCTCTACCAGGTTATTCTGCCACCAAATGAGAATAGAGAGATTAGCCCTTTCGTCCAGATAGTCCATAGTTGTTTTTAGTTATGAATTTTTCATCAACTAGTAGGAGAAATACACAGATCAGATAAATGAGAATTTACATCAGTTTTTGGTATTTTTGCCAACTAAGAAGAGGCAGTCCTTATTCTTAGTTTATTTGTGGGAAAATTGCTGTTACGATAACGAGCCTTTCTTAGTCATGCTGCAAGGCAGTAGCAGAGCCAAGAACAGCTTGGAAGTTTCGGGTGCTCTGTTTAAATTCCTCCCTCTCATCTGTGATTTTGTTTTCTAGGCTAACAAAGTCATAGGAAAGGTGCAGATCCAGGTTGCAGACCTGTCAGAGATTCCCCGCTGTAACTGCAAGCCAGCCGACGAGAACCCTTGCGGCTTGGAATCCGAGTGCCTGAACAGAATGCTGCAGTACGAGTGTCACCCACAGGTGTGCCCTGCCGGGGATCGTTGCCAGAACCAGTGCTTCACAAAGAGGCTCTACCCTGATGCAGAAATCATCAAAACGGAGCGAAGAGGCTGGGGCCTCAGGACTAAAAGGAGCATTAAGAAGGTATTATGGGACAGGGCACTGGTGATCGGAACCAGATTAGGGCCTATGCCTCTCAGAGAAGCTTCAACGGGGATGAAATGTATGGTGATCCCTGGCGGACTCATGAAATTTCCCAAGTTGAGAGTTTGGCATTTCTTTAGCAAAGAAGCTATAGGAAGTGGTAGTGATAAAACATATGTAAACTTTGGTTGTCTTATGATCAGTCATAAAAAGGAGAAGGGAAAATGGTCATTTTCTGTCTGAAGTATTTTTTACTTGTTAATCAAAGTAGACCTAGATGTAAAGACCTAGTAAAGGCAATAGCCAGGACTTTGCTCCAATCTCTTATTTCATTAGCTGTGAAACTGTGGCCAAGTCAGTCAACTTCCCTGAGCGTCAGTTTCCTCATCTCTAAAATAGACATAGTATTCCCTGCCCTACACATTGCTGCTAGTCTCAAATTAGATCATATACCCAAAAGCAACCAGAAAAAGTTTAGAACTTTAGGCAATTTTTCAAAAGTCCCTTTGTTTAACACAGAAATGCATTGTCCACTGCAGAACATTTTCTAAATACAAATAACTCAAAGAAAAAAAAAAAGAAAATCGCCAATATATCCTACTGCTCAGAGGCTCTCAAACTTTAGAGATTCTGAAAACCTCCCAAGGCTGTCGTCGTCGTCATTATTATTATTATTATTATTAATCATCACCTGAGGCTATTTTTTCATTCATTTTTAAGAAGGGTGAAAGAGAGGGAAGGACTGAGAGAAACATCAATGTGAGAGAAACACATCGATTGGTTGCCTCCTGCACGAGCCCTGTCCAGGACCCTGCAACCAAGGTACATGCCCTTGATTGAAATCAAATCCAGGACCCTTTTGTCTGCAGGCCAGTGCTCTATCCATTGAGCCAAACCAGCTAGGGCCTGGGGTCCTTAAAAACAGTATCACCCAGATATATCTGCATTTTATAACAAGTTCCTGCCCTGCCCCCCTTTTTACCCCTTATCCCTGCCAAATGCCAATATATAGAACTTGGAGATATATTCATTGAGAGAGGTGGACCTAGTGAGAATTAGTAATTGACTCTTTTTTTTAAATATATATATTTTCTTTATTTCAGAGAGAGGGAGAGAGAGAAACATCAATGATGAGAAATAAATATTGATCAGCTTCTTCCTACACTCCCCCTACTGGGGATCAAGCCTGAAACCCCAGGCATGTGCACTGACTGGGAATCAAACTGTGACCTCCTGGTTTATAGGTCAGTGCTCAACCACTGAGTCACACCAGCCATGCTGTAATTATTTCTACCTTTTAAAGAATCACCTTTGGCTGAATCCGGTTTGGCTCAGTGGATAGAGCATCAGCCTGTGGACTGAAAGGTCCTGGGTTTGATTCCTGTCAAGGGCATGTACACTGGTTGCGGGCACATCCCCAGTAGGGGGCGTGCAAGAGGCAGCTGATTGATGACTCTCTCTCATCAATGTTTCTAGCTCTCTATTCCTCTCCCTTCCTCTCTGTAAAAAATTAATAAAATATATTTTTAAAAAAAATAAAAAATAAATTAAAAAATCTTCTTTGTGATTAAAAAATACCACATAATATAGTAAAGAAAATCAATATAAGAAAGATATTCCTCCTTCATCCTTCAATTCTTGGTCTCCTCACAAAAGATGACAATTGTTAATAGGTTGATATGTAGCCTTTTAGAACTTTTTCTGTGTAGTTGTATTAACACGTATGCAAATATATAATCATATATTCTATATTTGTAGGGTTTTTAAAACAAATATAATCATACATATTTCTCACTTAACATATCATACATACATTTTTATAGCAGTACATAGAGACTTCAACTCATTATTTTTTAAAAAAAAATTTTTAAATTTTTTTTTTTTTTCAAATACACTCTCATTGATGTTCCACAGAGAGGAAGAGAGACAGAGAGCCAGAAACATCGATGAGAGAGAAACATCGATCAGCTGCCTCCTGCACACCTCCCACTGGGGATATGCCCACAACCAAAGCACATGCCCCTGACCGGAATCGAATCTGGGACCTCCCCAGTCTGCAGGCCGATGCTCCATCCGCTGAGCCAAACCAGTCTCTGCTTCAACTCATTATTTTTGTTTTTTCAATTCATTCTTTTTGTTAAACAGTCTCACTGTATTTCATAGTAAAATGTACCAAATTATGTACCATAATTTATATAACCTATTTTCCAATACATGCATGTACACACACACACACACACACTTACAGATTTTTTAAAGTTCTGTAGTGAACATTCTTGGTCATCTCTTTTTATGCTCCTGTTTCTATAGGTTAGATTGCTTGTGAAGAAGCTCATTCATTTGGTTCATATTTGTGAAGCTTCTTTAATGTGCCAGGTACTATCCCAGTACCTGGAAAAACAGTAGTGAACAAGACAAATAATGAACAGATATCTAATGCCGAGTACCACTAAATGCTGCAAAGAAAACTAAGCTGTCAGAAGGGATAGTGGGTGACTGGGATTGCTACTTTAAATTGATTGGCTAAGGAAGGCCTGAGGAGGGGACATTTCACCTGAAATGGGAGGGAGAAAGTCACAAAGATACGTGTTGAGAAGAGGATTTCAGACTAAAGTAAAACAAGTACAAATGCCTTAGTATGTTCCAGCAACAACAACAAAGCACCAGGAGAAGAAAAGCAAGGAGAAGAGTGGCAGGTGGGGATAGGAGAGAGGCTAGATCATATGAGCGTTACAGCCACAGGATGGGAAATTTCTGGAGCATTTTAGTAGGGACTGACTTGATTTGATACTTGATGTATTTGTTTTCTATTGCTGCATAACCATGTTACCACAAACTTGGCAACTTAAAATGTAACACATATCTGATTACCTCACAGTTTCTGTGGGTGAGGAGTCTGGGCACTGCTTAGCTGGGTCCTCTCAAGGTGTAGTCAGGGTGCTGCCCAGGGCTGGATTCTCACTCATGTGCCTTGGATAAGCAAGGATCCACTTCCCTGCCTGCATGGCTGTTGGCAGAATTATGTTCCTTGCAGATGTAAGCCTGAGAGCTTCAGGTGTTTTGTGTGTTTTATTTGTTGTTACTGTTTTGTTGTCCTCTGGAGGCTGCCTACAATTCCTTATCAAATGAGGTTCCCCAACATGGCTCTTGGCTTCCTTACAGCCATCAAGATGTATGCTAACATCATAATGTAGCAGACTTATGTAATCACATATGTCCATCACCTTTGTCATGCTTTATTGCAAGTCACAGGTCCTGCTCACTTGAGGGGATCGCAGAGCCATGTGAACACCAGGAGGCAGAGGTCATGGGGGCCACCTTCAGAGTCTATCTGCCACACTTGGGTTTCAAAAGAATACTTTTGGCTGTAGTACAGAGAATTTGTGGTAATGGGGAAAATGATAAAAAGGAGACCATTTATAATCCAGGAGAGAGATGATGGTGGTATACACCACTAGGGTTGTAGTTGTGCAGGAGAGAAGAGGTTGGATTTCTGAAGTTAGAGCCAATAGGACTTGCTAATGCCTTGGATATGTGTATTGGGCTGCTCAGTCAAAGGCCATCTGCATGTAAAATATTACGTGATTCAAATTTTGATAATACTATAATGCCATGCGTATCACACATACAAATTTTTTTGCCTATGATTTCAGGGGAATGTTTAGAGTCATCCTGAAAACTGTGTAGCTTAATATCTTTTTTAACACTTTTTAATAGTAGTTGTATTTATTCTAAAATGTGTTTTAATTTACTTAATTCATGATAGACAGTTGACCTTTGAATATGCACAGGTTAGCAACACTGACCACGCACACAGTTGAACTTTTTTGATTCCCCCAAAACTTACGTTGTGGCACAGGGATTGGTTCCAGGACCCCTCCAGGCACCAGAATCTGAGGATATTCAAGTTCTACAGTATAAAACAGTATACATCATTGCGTACAGTCAGCCTCCATCTGTGGTCTCCCAGCCACAGGTGGAAAATAGTACAGGTATTTATTGAAAAAAAAAAATCCACATGTGGATAGACGTGCGCAATTCAAAATCATGTTGTTCAAGGGCCAACTGTAATTAAGAGAAAAGAAATGTAATCAAGATTGTTCTGCCCTTTAGCACTTGAAGAATTGCTAGTTTAAGGTCACTGATCTTTTACAAAACAGCTAGAAATATATGATCTCTGAAAAGCACAATCATCAAGACTGTAGCAACATGGGAAAGGCTTTTGGTACATTAAGAGACAGATGCCAAATGTGAAACAGAGTACACCGCGAGTCCCCTCTTTTCACACCTAAATCCTGGCATTGTGTGACAGCATGCACTTCTTGCTGTCAGGTGGCTTCTTAAGAATTGAAAAATATGTATAAACACTGAATTACACCCTCTCTTTTTACAATCTTTAAGGACAGATTTTTAGCACTTTATAAGGTCTTTAGTTCACAATTTAATTAACAGCTCATGGTTCAGTACTTTGAGGTTAATGGTTTGTCATTTTGGACATCAAAAGTATTTCTTTTACAAAATAGTTTGAAATATTTATTCACAGTGGTACATCAAGTTTTGGCATATACATTTCTCATATTTAATATCAGCACTAATTTTTTCTATATTCATTCATTTTCATAGAATAACAAATATAAACAATAATAAATGGTTTATAATGTAGAACCTTTTCAGAGGCTCCAGGTTGCCTTATCCCAGATTCCAGTGATGGACCATAATTGTGTCACTTGGACTATGGACATAATATTGTCAGCAAAAAAAGACAAGCAGATCATTATATTTTGCAGCACTGGTACAAGAAAAATAGTGCCTGAATGCGCATGAATAACAGCAACTACTTGTTTTGATGGTTGAAGCTGTATTCTATAGTTCTTTTTGGTTAATAATCTTGGATCATACATGTTGTGTTAAGGAACGCTTTCTAATATAATACCCTGATTTCACATTTATATACTGCATGCTTCTCTGTAGGGTGAATTTGTAAATGAATATGTTGGCGAATTAATTGATGAAGAAGAATGCAGATTGCGAATCAAGCGAGCCCATGAGAACAGTGTAACCAATTTTTATATGTTAACTGTCACCAAGGTAAAATTACTTTGTTTTTATTTTCATGATCTTAGGTTGAACTGTTTCCTCTAATTTGATTTCTTCAGACAAAATATAATGATCAGCAGTAGCCAGTGTGCTCTCCACCATAATGTGCTAATTATACCAGCACAAAATGAATGCTTGCTACAGCCTTGCACAGGTCATGTGAGACAGCACTGCGAGTGAGAGTGAACAGGAAAGGTTGACACACCTGGATTCTGGTCCCAGCTCCTCTTAGGCACTGAAAGACTAGCCCTCAGTTGCTTTATCACTGAAGGAGGGAAGGAGCACTAATTCTAAGTTATAAGCCACTGTTAAAGTTCAGATTTAGCAAAAATTCTAACTCTGAAAATTGTTCTGCACATTTAAATTTTTTAATGGGTTAGTAGATATGAATGCTGTCATAAGAAAAATAACGAACTGCTGGTTTAATATATGCAGTTATAAGTCCCACTTGATGCACACTATCCATTATCTCATTCAATTTCTTCATTAGTCTTCTGATTTACAGAGGACAAGAAAGTGAGGTCTAGCCATGGTAAATGGTTGAATACCTTGTTACAGTTTAATGAAGAGCAAAGATTAGTACCCATGTTTCCTGTGTGCCAGGCCATTTCTAAAACTGAGTCAGAATGTCATTAAAGTTAAGAACTGGAGATCATGTAGAAGAAATGTTATTTTAACTCATATGGTATTGTTTGAAACTTTTTATAGCTTTCATAAATATATATTTCGTAAACATACAATGCCATTTATTTATGACTAGAGGCCCAATGCATAAAATTCATGCAAGGGTGGGGGTTCAGGCTGCCCTGAGCCCTCTCACAATCCAGGATCTCTTGCTCCCATCTGCCTGCCTGCTTGCTCCTTACTGCCTGACTGCTCACTCCTTACCACCCACCTGCTTGCTGCTTACCGCATGGCTCACCGCTCCTTAGTGCTGCCATGGAGATGGAAAAGACTCCTGCCACCACCGCTGCACTACCATTCACGACCCCCGCTTCTGGCTGAGCATGCTCCTGCTGTGGGAGCCCACTGACCACCATGGGCAGCTCCTAAATTGAGTGTCTGCCCCCCTGCTGGTCAGTACACTTCATAGCGGCCAGCCATTCTGGTCATTCTGCAATAATGGTCACTGGGCTTTTATATATATATATATAGAGAGAGAGAGAGAGATTGTCGACTGGCTCCTAAATCCTATCTTCACTGTCAGTGACCCCTCCAGCCATCTTTACATCTTATAGGGCTTATCCAGATGATCAGAATTTAAATTTAGGGGCCCAATGGGGAGGATTGTACTGTATTTTAGACTTCACTACAAGTAGAATTAGAACAAATAAAACTATCAGCTTTGCACTGGCTATGAAGTATCATAGCCAATGAGACTTATCTAAGGTGTGATTATTGCTAATCGAAAAACGAAAAAAGGAAAACCACTCGAGCATGTCAAACTCAGGGCCGGTGGGCCACAAGTTTGACATTCTTAAGTACACCCCTTCCATCAAATCTGCAAGTCTTTATTCAAGAGAAGTTTCTCATTTTTCCTACTTGCTCTTTATGGCCTGAACCCTGAGCCTTCTAGCCCTGTTCTAGTTGTGCTTCTTGCTCAGAACAGGAAAGAAGGGCGACAGCTCAGCACCCTGTTCCCTTCACAAGGTGCTGTCTGAACTCAGAGCTCTCTTAGAAATACTTTTCCTAAACCGAAGACCAGAGCATCTTTTAAGCATTATTCTACGGTCTGTTTGTTTCCACTTTATCTTGATTGTTTTGACTTGAAAGTCATGAGAGGAAGTAGATAACTTACTAAATGTACAGAGAACGCCACATTTTCACATTTGCATTCGTCAGGCATCAGCTGCTGCCTGGTGGCTCTTGACTGCATTGATGTTTCTAAGATGTTTATTTTTAGTTTTATGTCAAAGGTACCTTTCCTTTCTTTTCTTTCTGAAGGACCGTATAATTGATGCTGGCCCAAAAGGAAATTACTCTCGCTTTATGAATCACAGTTGTAATCCAAACTGTGAAACACAAAAGTGGACAGTGAATGGAGACGTTCGAGTGGGACTTTTTGCTCTGTGTGATATTCCTGCAGGTAAACAAAGCAGCTCGCTCCCCATGCCCCCTTCCTAGGAAGCAAGTATATCCTCCGAAAGCAGAACATTCTTCAAGGTTTGGTGCTCAGATATTTATTCAAATAAGTAATTATATTTAGAATTGTTATCTGCCAATAATAAGTAAAAATCTGTGTTCTGCAAAGGGAGCTCAGCAAGAGCCTCTCTGTAAGAGAGGATATCACAGAATTCTGTGTCCACAGTCTTTCTGAATTAATTCTCCACATTATTGCTGACTAACGTAACCAGATGGTTAAGCTTTTGTTTCCTTTTTTTAAAGTTTTAAAAGCCTGTGTTAATATCAGTGGGCTTCTTGGTTTGTTTGGGGTGTGGGGAGAGGTTCTTTTATTTTGAAAGATCATTCAGTTTCAAATTAGACATAAAACAGTTCTGAAGCCAGAGTTTTCAATTTTCCTTACCCATCCAGCATCTTAATAGCAAAGCTTAGTTTCTCCTCTGTTAAGTTTGTAGCAAAATGAGTGTGAAATGCTGTAGCTAAAAGGAATTTCAGTTGTATTTCTAGACTCACGGTGGATTGTTCAAGTCCAGTGAAAGAAAGCGGGGGCCTCCTAATTTGAATCACTGGATCTTTGGTGTAGATAATAAACTTCCATTTTGAACTCTTTTCTAGTCAGAATACAAGGTATTAATTACTGGAAACAGTATGGTCGTCGTAATTCCACAGACATATTGTTCATTTAGAAACTAGTATAAATTAGCTTCAGAAAAGAAAAATAGAACTCATTTTTCTTAAACAGAGATTTCAAATCCTGGTCTCTATTACATAGTTTTTGACCACTTCAATGAAAAGGATGTGACAGCTTTTGTAGGATATTTATTTTTGCTGTAACATGGGTGTGTCAGGATGTTTTCCTCTAGTTATTTTTTTCCTTTTTTCTTTTTTTCCATCACTGTCTTCAATGTTGAATGTGGGGGAGGGAAAAGTTGATGTCAGAATTGTGTCTCATTTTTTCATTTCGAGAGTTTCTATGACTACAGTTTCTTCCCCGTTACTTGAATATGAATAATTATTTCTCTTCTGTTTTAGGAATGGAGTTAACTTTTAATTATAACCTGGATTGCCTGGGCAATGGCAGGACGGAGTGCCACTGTGGGGCAGAGAACTGCAGTGGTTTTCTTGGAGTGCGGCCCAAGGTCAGTGTGCAGGGGCATGCCCTGAGCCAGTATGGAGGGGCTACTGCAGTCTCATAAGCATATGACCATCTCAGGAACATACTGACAAATGGGTACCTGGTTTAGTTTACTGATCTTCAGTGGTGTTTACCCAGAGTTTAGACTGACTTTCCAATACCTTAATAAGATTTATTAGTTTCTGAAAATGTATTTGTATTTCTGATAGAATTTGAAACTAGCAAAATCCTTTTAGAAAACTTTTTTTTAAAAAATTCACAATATACCAAAAACCACTTAATTATATACTATAAAATGGTGACTTTTGCCCAGGTAGCTCAGTTAGTGTCATCACAACATGCTAAGGTTGTGGGTTTGATCCCCAGTCAGGGCGCATACAAGAATCAACCAATGAGCCCTAGTCAGTTTGGCTCCGTGGATAGAGCGTCGGCCTGCAAACTGAAAGGTCCCAGGTTCAATTTTGGTTAAGGGCACATGCCTGGGTTTTGGGCTCAATCCCTAGTGGGGGACTTGGAGGAGGCAGCCTATCCATGATTCTCTCTCATCATGGATATTTCTATCTCCCTCCCTCTTTCCTTCCTCTCTGAAGTCAATAAAAATATATTTAAAAAAAGAATCAACCAATGAATACATGATGAGTGCACAACAAATTGATGTTTCTCTCTCTCCCTTCCCTCCCTCTCTAAAAGCAATTTTTAAAAAAAGATAATTAATTTTTTTAAATGGTGACCTTAATGGTATATGAATTACATCTCATTGCCCTTATAATTTTTTAAAGTATGTTTTATTGATTTTATAGAGAGAGGAAGAGAGGAGAGAGCGATAGAAACATTGATCAGCTGCCTCCTGCATATCCCCCACTGGGGTTTGAGCCATAACCTGGGCGTGTGCTCTGGCCAGGAATTGACCTGGCCACCTTTTGGAGCATGGGACAAAGCCCAACCAAATGAGCCACACCAGCTTATTTTAGTATTCTTTGGGATGAGTCTTCCTGGTGTTTTTATTTATTTTTAATTTAAAAATATATATATATATTTCATTGATTTTTTTTTTTTTTGATTTTTTTTTTTACAGAGAGGAAGAGAGAGGGATAGAGAGCCAGAAACATCATTGAGAGAGACATCAATCAGCTGCCTTTTGCACACCCCCCACTGGGGATGTGCCTGCAACCAAGGTACATGTCCTTGACCAGAATTGACCTGGGACCTTTCAGTCCTCAGGCTGATGCTCTATCCACTGAGCCAAACCGGTTTCGGCTTCCTGGTGTTTTTAGTTAATTGAACAACAGATGAAATTAAATGACTGTGTTGTAGGATTTTTCCCTTCTCTTGAACAGCTTCATGCATTATGATCATTAAACTGTGATCCTTTTTCCTGCCAGTCGGCATGTGTGGCAACAACTGAAGAAAGGGCAAGAAATGCTAAGTTAAAGCAGAAGAGACGAAAAATCAAAACAGAATCAAAGCAGATGCATGAAGATTACTGTTTTCAATGTGGAGATGGTGGAGAGCTGGTCATGTGTGACAAAAAGGACTGTCCCAAAGCATACCACCTCCTATGCCTTAACCTGACTCAGCCACCATATGGTAAGTGAGATCTTTAAGACCTTTTCTCAGGCTTGGATTTTTGCCAACTATGTGTAACTCAGAATATAGTGCACTGTCCTTAATGGAGCAGTGGAATAGGAATCACTGACTAGGACAAACAATCATAGCAAACAAAAATTATGCTAGTGAAAATCTGTTTGCCAATTTGGGATACCTATGAGCCAGCAAGGATTGGTTTTCCTTTATATTATCACTAGAGGCCTGGTGCACAAATTTGGGGGGTCTTAGCCTGGCTGGTGATCTGGGAAGATTGGGGCCAGCCAGCAGGGGGGTGGGGGGTCACAAGGGACCATAGGAGGTTGGTCAGCAGCAGGAGGTTGGCTGTGGAAGCGCACTAACCACTCAGGGGCAGCTCCTGCGTTGAGCGTCTGTCCCCTGGTGATCAGTGCATGTCATAGCTACTGGCCAGTTATTTGGTCATAACAGTCACTTAGGCTTTTATATATATAGATTGGTGAGTACTATGGGCAGTATCTCACATTTGTAGCTAATGGTTCACCTAGCTAGACCAAAGTTTGGCTGAAATTTGGAGTTGTATTCAATTAATCAGTCTCCAGAAAAGATGGGATCCTGGGTTTTTGTGGCTAATTAAGACAGGCACTAACTTGGGCTCTTCTCCTCCTATCCGCCCTGTTAGGAAAGTGGGAGTGCCCGTGGCATCAGTGCAATGAGTGCAGCAGTGCAGCTGTTTTCTTCTGTGAGTTCTGTCCACGTTCCTTCTGTAAAGATCATGGGAAGGGAGCTCTGGTCCCCTCTGCACTGGAAGGCCTTCTCTGCTGCTCTGAACATGACCCCGGGGCTCCTGTGCCACCAGAATACTGGAGCAAGATCAAGTGTAAATTGGAATCACAAGATCATGGAGAAGAAGCAAAAGAATGAATGGGTGGTGATTTCCTTTTTCTTTGAACAAAAGGGAAAAGCAGACGTAAATAGATGATGGTAATAAAGGAGAGACTGCTGCTCTGTGCACAGCCTTTGCCATCAGTACTGCCTTATTAAGAGACCGGGAGCCTGGTCCTGCAGGCAGAAGCAGTTGGTGATATCTGGATTTTGTTTGATTTTGTTGGTTTGGTGATTCTTGAGTGAAAGGTTCGATTCCCTTGGTCCTTTCTTGCTTTTTATTTTGCTTCAAGGCCTTGCAGTTGGAAAAATATGTCTTTGCTTTTAAAACTAGAACAAAGTGCAAGTTTTGTTAATGAAATAAGTGTAAAGTTCTTGGGTGTAAAAAGCAAAACTCACCATCATTCCTTTATTTATTTTCATTTTTTTAAATGTTGAGAAGTATAGTTCAGATAGTCTAATCAGTGTATGTGTGAGTGTGTTAGGTAGGAATTCGAGAAAGCCCTCTAGCAAAGGATATGATTATCTCTATATACCTCTTTACTGTGTAGTAGGTAGGCTAACCTCTTTCCCTTCACAATGTCTTTCATAGCCTTGGAGAAGGGTTCTATGGAAGCATTGAATCTGGCCTCTTGAAAACAAAATGCTTCCGTGGCTTTTACCTCTGTGGTCTTAAACTAGGTGGGTTTTGTGATATGATAACTTTACCTAGAAAGTTATGTAGTGTGATTTTGGTTTCAATTTGGAGAAAAAAAGAAATGGATGCACTTACTGAGTTTGGAATGTTTTCCATTGATAGTGGGTATTTTTGATGAAGTGCATTTATGTAGATATGAATGCAGTATTAGAATGGTCATTCCTATTTCTTTTATATATATATATATATATATATATATATATATATATATATATATATTTTTTTTTTTTTTTTTTTTTTTTTATTGATTTCAGAGAGGAAGGGAGAGAGAGATAGAAACATAAGTGATAGGAGAGAATCATTGATCAGCTGCCTCCTACACACCCCCTATTGGGGATGGAGCTCATAACCCAGGCATGTGCCCTGACAGGGAATCAAACCATGACCTCCTGGTTCATAGGTTAACTTTCAACCACTGAACACATTGGCTGGGCTCATTCCTATTTCTTGACACACAGATAAAGGCAGCTAGAGGGGGACGAAAGGCACAGACCAAAAAAGTTGGATGATATAAGCACCATTTTCTGTCACACCCTAGTTAACTTGGAAAGAATTAGGGTATTTTATTTTGTCTCTGCTTCCCTCTCCTAATCAAACATTCCCTTTATCAACCGACTCCTCAAGTTTCCTGGTGAAACTACACAGATGAGTTTGATTGTTTTTTAATAGCTCTTTTTGTTTAATTCTATTTGGGGTGGGAGGGGGCACATCTCAAACTTCTGTGTCAGCAGTTGCTGTTATCCGGTACTTAACGTTATCCCCGTAGAAGGAGGGAGGGAAGCACTTCTACCGGGTGTATAATAGCCACACAAATGCACTTCATCTTAGGAGCCACTTAGGAAAAGCTCCAAGGAAGCAGTGTGAGCCAAAACGATTGGCTGTGGTGCTTGCATCTCATAGATGCAAGTGTTCCAAGATGTCTGCCCACAGAACTCACTTGCTTTTAACCCCTAGGAATATGTATATTCCAGTAGCCCTTGTATGAAATAATTAGTGATGTCAGACATTGTTGTAACACTGTACTAAGTAGAAGTCTAGAATTAGCTTGAATGAACGTTAACTTTCTCTGTGAATTTTGACTGCTTACAATGAATTGCTGGTACCTGGTAACATTTATTTTCCCTCAAGAAGTACCTAGTAACCTTATGAAGGTAGGGAGGGTAGATGCTCTACCACATTCCTTCAGTTGTGTTATGTGTGTTTCTTTTTCTTACCAATTTAGAGCTCTTCTCTGGAAAAAAGAAGAAAAGCTGTTTTGTGCCTCTTTTTTTTTTTGTATGTAAATGTGCAATGATACTGGGTTTTTGTCTTGTGGGGGGGGAACAAAACAGGAAAACAACACTACAGTTCCTTTACTTAAGCTCCTAAACTGCCACTTGCCTGATTCTGGCAATTAATTTTGAGGTAACTTATTGGGCCTCCAATAGTTCTTTTGATTAGATATGGTCCCAAAAGAAAGAGCAAAATGGAAAATGCTATACATGTTAGCAACTGTAATTGCTACAAGTAAACATGGGTTACATCTTGCCAAAACACTAACCTTTGCTCTTGAACAATTATATAGCTTGATGTCCTTTTAAAAAATAATTTAAGAAAATCTAGGTTTTATCATACTAAAACTTTATTTTCTATATATATATATATATATGATGTTTGCTTTTCTAAACTTACTAACATGAAGGATTTCCTTTCATATTCAAAATGTAACTCTTGTTAAAACAATATCCAACATGAAATCTTATCTCCTTAGTGCTATTTGATATCTGATGACTTTTATATGGTAAGCCAGGGTCTAGTCTATAAACTACAAATACCTTAGGTTTAAGTATTTTTATGCAGTTCCTCATTGTGTCACGTTTTGTTTGTGTATCTGTAACAGAGCTCTGCTGAGCCCGCTTAATTTGGGGGGCGGGGTGGCTAATAGGATTGTTCTATCATTTCAGAAATCAGGGTAGAAAACAAAATAGCTAACCCTAACTCTGGGTCTGTGCATGAGTGTTCTTTCATGGTCTAAAAGGTGGTTTTATTTTATTTTTTAATATATTTTATTGATTTTTTACAGAGAGGAAGTGAGAGGGATAGAGAATTAGAAACATCAATGAGAGAGAATCATCGATCAGCTGCCTCCTATACACCCCCTACTGGAGATATGCCCGCAACCAAGGGACATGTCCTTGACCGGAATCGAACCCGGGACCTTTCAGTCCACAGGCCGACGCTCTATCCATTGAGCCAAACTGGTTTCGGCTAAAAGGTGGTGTTAGTCATGCCAGTGTTAAGGAGCTCTTCTCACTCCGCCATCGTGTCACTGTTGACTATTGAGTCCATTGTGAAGTTGCAGGTTCTGGAAGCAGAAAAAGAGTACGTTGTGCTTTAAGTGTGCAGTGTATACCTGCACTGTGCTTGCCTGTGCTTCCCCAGTGAAGTATTCCAACACACATTGCTCACTCAGTCTGAGGCTGGTATTTGTTAACTTTTAAATCTGTATGTGGTCAGAGCATACATGCTTGGTTTTTAATATTGTCCAAAATGAAATATTGATAACTTAAAGCAGCTTGAGATAATGGTGGTATTTTTTTTTAACCTCATGTTAATTTTCGGGAGGAAGAAGTGAAGATAAGATTTTTCATAATCAGCATAAAGCATCAGAAATTGGATCAGTAACAACTAAAGATGAAATCCTGATAACATTTCCAGGAGCTAAGCAGTGGAGAGGGGCTGGGCCATGCATGGCCGGCATGGGAAAGCAGGAGCAGCCAGGAGCAGCCGAGGAGGCTGAAGCAGCCAGAGGACACAGTCACTTCTTTAGTGTTTAATCAGGGCTAGAATGAGGGGTGGGGTGGGGTTTACTTTATGTTTGTTTTAACAAGCTCCCAGTCTATCTCAATTCTCAAAAGTAATCTGGCCTAAGTTACATAATAGGCTTACTTTTAGAATCATCGAAACTTGTATGTTCAAGGCAGGAACATATCTCAAAACTAAAATAATAATGGGGGCAGGTAAGACTGCTCCAGTTCCCTTCTGCCAATCCCAAATATTTGTAAATAATGTTGTGCAATTCTGAGGTGATCATGTAAAGGACTCCCAGACGGGGCAGGCTGTTGGGCAGCTTTGCTGGTTCACGAAGTAAGGTCTCCTTTTGGAGTTGTTTGTGGCATGGTATGTGTTCCAATCAGGGTCCAACCAGATCTGCAGTTTGGAAACAGATACAAGGGCCACTGTACAGAATGTAATCTCTGGACTACCCAGCATTTGTTGCTTGTCTTTTGTTTCATTTTTAAACACAAAGCTTCCTTTAATGTTCACCTTAAAGTCAAGGTGCTGCCCCTGGCCATGTCCCAGCAGGATAAGAGAACAGTCACCACTTGGGAAGCTTACGTGTTATGTGCTTGTCCACTAGGTACGATGATACTGGGGAGTTGCTCTGGGCAGTGTCAGTCAGACTTGTAATGCTTCTTACAAGGCTGATGTATCCAGCCACCCCCGAGTTGTCCAAGTTGCTGCAGACAGGGAGTGATCATTGGGAATAATGCCCTTGGATCTAGGGCCACACTGTGGCTATTTGTCAGCAAAGAGGAGAACTTACTCCCATTTCCAGATTAGCTAGGGCATAGATATAATTAGACAGCTTTGTCATGTATTAACAAGTATTGAAAAGTTGGAAATTTGTATATACTGAAATCTATCAACTTCTATCTGGGGTGGGGCACAGGGAGAAGAGGGGGTGGGACAGCAGGGTAAGGGAGGGGACGATGATGTTTACCACAGGTGCGAAGTAGTCACTTTAACTTTGAGACCTCTGCCTCATGAATTCAGGTGTTTTTAAGTACTTGAAAGTCTTCAGATTCTCCTTATTTTAACAGTTATTTTTAAATTTATGAAGTAGAAAGCATTGTTTTATACACTGTTTTGAAAATAGCCTAGTCTCTTATCCTCTTTCACACAAATTAAAGGTGAAGTTCTGCAAATAGGAGGGCATGTTCACAGTAGGTTTCTCAGATCTAATGTACACAGGATGCCAGAAGCATTTCGATGAATATTTCCCAGGTAGGTTCTTTATCATTTTGTCAACCCAAGCACCTCTTCTCTAATGTATGCCTGCCTGGGAAGGGGGTGGGGGGAATTTGCACTTATGTTACACCTTTGAAATGCTGGGTGTAACCTGTGTGTTTAAAAACCTTTTTTTTTTTTTTTTTTTTTTTGTCCATTGCTTAAGTGACCATTTGAAGTGCTTGTGGCACACACGTATGAAGGGGGAGGAGAAAGAGAGTTACCTGTTTTTTTGGTAGCCTCCGAAAGTCATTAACATGTAAGTAAAAGGGAAAAGATGAGTAGTTGCCAAAGTCATTTATTCAGTCCTTAGTTTTCTTATATCCTTAGTTATTCTATCTGCACATAGGCAAGAAGCACCCTCAGGTTCCAGTACTTCCTTCCCTGGCCACCACAGACTTCTGATATGTGTGAATGAGATTATCTGGATTAGGTATTGGTAAGGTATTCCTGTCAGTTTGGAAGTGAACTGGATAAAATTTGTTTATTTCATTTGTGCTGTCACATACTCTTTGTTAAAAAAGAAAATCATTATTGCCACAGACAACCAAGTTGCTAAATGATGATTACAACTAGCTAATAATAAGGTTCTTTTTATATACAAAGGTATGTGCAAATTTGAATTGATATGAGAAATTCATTTTTACCCACTTGTGATATTGCACAAACAGATACCGACAGATTCTGTTTTCATTTCCTAGTGATCTTTATGATAACAACCTTTGTAGATTGGTTATTTCTGTACTTTATCTGTAATAAACTTTGTAGATCCTGTGAATTGTTATTTTACCTAAATCACTTGAGACTTGAGTCTTTAATAACAAAGCACCAATATTCACTAAAGTCAATCTCTTGTGAGTTTCTGTGACTCGGCTAGAAGCTCGACACTAAAGGATCAGTGACCGTTTTCCTGGGGGTGTTCCGCTCGGGCATTAATGTATAGTGACTTGATGTTGCCACACAGACTTCAGGATATATATTTTGGGGATTTTGTTGGCTGGCCTATGTTTTACTGCATAGTGTGAATTGTGCAAAGCTTGGTTAACCTGTATATAGATCGCTTACTGTTGACTCGATATCGTGTATTTAGGATTGCCTGTAATATTTAAGCTGCTTACTGCTGTCTGTGCTGGTAGGAATCAATTTTTGTATATTATATTTACTGAGATGTTGCCTTTTTTATTTTATAAATACTTTGGAATTCAAATGTGGTTTGTTTTGTTGGTGTTTTGTTTTGTTTTTTTTGGGTTTTTTTGCTTCCGTGAGGATTAATTTGGAAAGGTTTTTAATGACATTCCACTGATTTCAGATTTTGCTTGAGATTGACTTCAATAAATTGTCCTGTATGTTCCAAATTAAATATGTGGATTTGTTCCTTGCCTGTAGTTTTCTTGCTCTAGTCACTGGGCCAGAGGCCTTCCTGGGAGGGAGGGGGCCGGCTGCGGTGCTGCCTCACCCAGTGTGCCAGCCCCGTCAGCAAGGCCTGCAGCACAGCAAGTCCTGTGAGAGCTAAGTACATCTTCCTTCAAAATGCAATGCTGCTAATGAGCTGGGGCCTGCAAATGCAGGGGTTTCATTTTGCGTTCGTGGAGGATAGGTCCTTGGAGAATGTTGCTCCGCACTTTGGTATCGAATATCCAGGCAACGGCCAGTTGGCGAAGGAGTCAGACATGACTGGGAGGTTGAAATCACTTTCATCCATTTATCAGACGGGAAGGTAGCCTGCTGCGTGGCAGGACACTGGGAGCTAGCTCCTTGCTGGAGGAACCGCACTGCTTGCCCTCCATCCCTCTTGCTAGTAGGTGATCTGAGAGCACGCCAGACCTGGCCGGGTGAGGAGGCGGAGCGCCCCCCCCTGCCTGCAGTTCCCCGAGTGCCCACCAGCGGGCGCTGACAGCAGCTGAGACCCGGCCTGGGGAGGAGAAAAGGAGGAAGGCGGCCTCCTGTGCTCGCTGCAGCGGCTGCCACGTCAGCCAGCGCGGTCAGGGCAGAGCGGCGGCGGCGGCGGCGGCATGGCTCGGATGAGGAAGGCGGCGGAGGCCTTCTGGGCCGAACTGGGCTTGCGGATCGCACTGTTCACGGCCTTCCTGTAAGCGGCTTCCGGATCGGGCCCCAGGGCCCGGCACCCTCCTGCGCGGACCGGATAGGCGGCCCCGCAGCGCTGCCGGCTCTCCCCAGGTCGCGGGGAGCCGGAGGGAAGCAGACCGACGAGCTCCGCACTTTTTGTTTCCCTTCAGGGTAACAGAGCTGCTCCCGCCCTTCCAGAGGCTCATCCAGCCCGAGGAGATGTGGCTGTACCGGAATCCGTATGTGGAGGCAGACTATTTCCCCACCAAGTCGATGTTTGTGCGTGGAGGACAGCCCTTCCTCCCGCCCCGGGACGGCTTCCTGCGCTCAGTGCCGGAAGCCGAGATGGTCATTCTGGCTCCGAAACGGCCTTTGGGGGGGGCTGTCGCTCCCCTCGCCGATGTGCAGAGATGTGCTTCCTCATGGTTAAGAGCCGGATTTAGGGCGCCGGGCTATTCGAGAGGCTGTGGACCCGAGTTTGTCTTTCCTGGGAAGCGGCTGGGTCTGAATGCTGAGTTCTGCCACTGCCCTCCCTCTCCCGGGGAGCTCCTGTACCCACTGGTTTTGTTTGCTAACCTTTGCCATGTTCTGGTCCAGGCCATCGCCTCCCTCTCCCCGCTGTCCCTGATCCTCCTGGCCAAATGTCTCAAGCAGGCGGACACCACGGACAGCAAACAAGCCTGCCTGGGTAAGAGCCGGCCTTTCCCAGCGGGTGTCTTGGTGCCCGAATGAAAAGGCAGGGCTGTGGCCTCAGTGTGGAGGCCACTGAGCTCTACATTCCCGAAGTGCTTGTATCTGCCTGGACCCCACTTGTTACCCTGGGACAGTGGTCGGCACACCGCGGCTCGCGAGCCACATGCGGCCCTTTGGCCCCTTGAGTGTGGCTCTTCCACAAATACCACGGCCTGGACCAGTCTATTTTGAAGAAGTGGCGTTAAAAGTTGTTTAAGTTTAAAAAATTTGGCTCTCAAAAGAAATTTCAATCGTTGTGCTGTTGATATTTGGCTCTGTGGACTAATGAGTTTGCCGACCACTGTCCTGGGAGACAGAGGAATAGCACTGTCAGAACTTCCAGCCTCACAGATGGCCTGCACGCGCTGGGTTATGTGTGCCTCAGAAATGACGTCAGCGGGCACAGTTCTCCCTGTGCCACAGCTGAGCGGTCAATTGTTGAGGGCCAGAATCATGTTGTTGTTGTTAATCCTCATCTGAGGATATTTTTTCCATTGATTTTCAGAGAGGCTCAATATTGGGGTAACTATTCAAGAATAGGGGAGGTAGTTTACCTTCCTGAGATTTGAACATTTTATTACTAATGTATTATGTGTTAGATCCTACAGTGTGGTACTAGTCATAGAAATATTAACTTTGACACTGTGTCAGCTGTTTTGAAAAGCATTTTATTTTTTATATGGAAAGGAGAGAGAGGAACATCAATGTGACAGAGACACACCCATTGGTTGCCTCCGGATCGAACCTGAAACAGCCACGATAAGTTGAACCGAGACCCTTTTGGTATGTGGCTGGCATTCACCACTGAGCCCCGCTGGCCAGGGCCAGAACCATTTTTATAATCAGCTTGAGCCCGATCATTCCTCTATCTCAGAAAGGCCCCGGCTTGTCAATGAGATGGTGACTGTGCAATTCCTTCAAGACGGATGCCACTAACATAGGTTTCTTTGTCTTCCAGCTGTCAGCCTTGCCCTGGTTCTGAATGGTGTCTTTACCAACACAATAAAGCTGATAGTGGGGAGGTAAGTGCCCAGAGGGAGCCACCGGTGCCTGCCTCGGCCTTCCCTCAGCAGGAGAGATGGTTGATGGCACTCTTTCTCCTTATCCTTCTTTGTTCTCAGCCTGTTCTTGCTCCCTGCCCTGCCCCTCAGTCCTGCGGGTGACACTGGGCTCTTTCCGGCCCCAAACAGCGTTTCCATTGACACCCACAGCAATTCAGTGTCCTCTAGAGTCGTCCCCCCCCCCCGAATCTGCACTGTGACTTGCTCTTTGCCCTAAAAGGTAACCATGTGCCAAAATAAAACCACCTGTGCTAGCTTGGCTTCTTCCCTCTCCCCCCTCCCCCCTCGCCCCCGAATTAAACACTCACCCTGGAAATAAGGCTTTTCTCTAGTGGTGACTATACTAGTCCAATCTCATTATTTTGCCTGGACACTATGCATCCATCGGTGAACAGGATTATGGATGTCTGATACTCTAAAATGCAATTTCTGGAGTTGTGACCAGAAATGACATCTGCTCGTTTCTTCCAGGCCACGCCCTGACTTCTTCTACCGCTGCTTCCCCGATGGGCAGGCCCATCCCGGCCTGGCGTGCACGGGAGATGAGGATGTGGTGAATGAGGGCCGCAAGAGCTTCCCCAGTGGACACTCTTCCTGTATGCTCCACATCTATGGTTTGGGGGATCACTGCATTTAATGGAGGAAGCTTGTGAGGATGAAAACATCATACTACTCTTGTTCTTGTATCTAGAAATTGGAGGACCCCCCCCCCCCCCATCTTTAAGAACCCCAAGATTTCAAAAGCCTGAGCCTCAATATTAGGGTAACTATTTAAGATTAGGGGAGGTAGTTTACCCTCCTGAAATTTGGGCATTTTATTACTAATGTATTATTAGATCCTACAATCTGGTACTAGTCATAGAAATACTAACTAACCTTTGACACTGTCAGCTGTTTTGAAAAGCATTTTATTTTTTAAAATACATTTTTATTGATTTCAAAGAGGAAGGGAAAGAAATACCGTATTTTCCGGCGTATAAGACGACCCCCTAATTTTACAGTTAAAACATAGGTTTAGGCCTATATTCGCTGTATAAGACTACCCCCCACTTCCGAGGCAACACCAGTTCTTTTTTTAATAGACCGCCTCTCTAACTCAGCCAATCCGAGCAGGCTTTTTATGCATGCATATTATACATGTTCTGTACCCGAAGCTATACTGTGTTCTAGTAAAAAGCCTGCTCAGACTGGCCACAGTCAGAGAGGCGGTCTATTTAAAAAAGAACTGGTGTTGCCTCGGAAGTGGGGGGTAGTCTTATACAGCGAATATAGGCCTAAACCTGTTTTAACTGTAAAATTAGGGGGTCGTCTTATACGCCCGGTCGTCTTATACGCTGGAAAATACGGTAGATAGAAATGTCAATGATGAGAGAGAATCATCAAGTGCTGCCTCCTGACACCCACACTGGGGACTGAGCCCACAGTCCAGGCATGTGTCTCAACCAGGAATCGTACCATGACCTTAGATTCATGGGATGACTCTCAACCACTGAGCCACACCAGCCAGTGGAAAGCATTTTAGATTCTACCTCATTTGTCATAGCCCAATGAAGTGGGTACTATTATTTTTATGATTCCCATTTATACATGAGAAAACTAAGGCGTTGAGAAGTAACCTGCCCAGAGTCATACAACTAGTGAGGATATTAACTTTGCAACACAAAATAAAGTGTTTAATTTTTCCTTTTTATTTCCCTCTCCCTCATAATCAATGTTCTACTCCAGAAATATACAAAAAAAAAAGAGGGGCGAGGGTGGGATAAAACATATTCATGTCCCCTGGCCTCCTCCTTGTAGATTAGTGGGGAGCTTCCTTTAAAAGACATACACTTACAGGTTTTTCCTCTTCTAGTTGCATTTGCTGGGCTGGCCTTTGCTTCCTTCTACCTGGCAGGGAAGTTACACTGCTTCACGCCACAAGGCCGTGGAAAATCTTGGAGGTTCTGTGCCTTTCTGTCACCTCTGCTTTTAGCAACTGTGATTGCACTGTCCCGCACCTGTGACTATAAGCATCACTGGCAAGGTAAGCAGTCTTCACGCCCTGGAAGCTTCCATGTCTCTATCATTCATCATTTTATCTCTAGCACCTGGCCCAGAGTTGACACTAAGAGTCTGTTGAATGAATAAACCTGTGAGTATGAGATGGTCTGGGGCCTATACTAAGATAATGCATTTATAACTACACTAGAGGCCCGGTGCACAAAATTCGGGGGGGGGGGGGCCCTCAGCCCAGCCTGCACTCTCTCCAATCTGAGATCCCTGGAGGGATGTCTGGTGGGATAGGGCCTAAATGGGCAGTTGGACATCCATCTCACAATCCAGGACTGCTGGCTCCCAACTGCTCACCTGCCAGCCTGATCATCCCTTAGCCACTCCCCTGCCAGCCAGATTGCTGCCTAACTGCTCCACTGATAGCCTGTTTTTCCCAACTGCCCTCCCCTGCAGGCCTGGTCACTCCTAATTGCCCTCCCCTGCAGGCCTAGTCACCCCTAACTGCCCTCCCCTGCAGGCCTGGCCCCCACAACTGCTCTCCATTGCAGGCCTGGGTCCTGCCTCCCTTCCCCCCTCAACTGTCCTCCGATGTAGGCTTGATCGCCCCCAACTGCCCTCCCTTGCAGGCCTGGTCCCTCCCAACTGCCCTCCCCTGCTTGCCATCTTGTGTGTTGGAGTGATGGTCAACCTGCATATTATTCTTTTATTAGATAAGATAGAGGCCTGGTGCATAGGTGGGGGCCAGCTGGTTTGCCCTGAAGGGTGTCCTGGATCAGGGTGAGAGTTCCCTTGGGATGTGTGGCTGCCTGGGCAAGGGACATGTGGTGGTTTGCAGGCCAGCCATTCCCTCCACAACCCCCCACACCCTCAGCGACCTAAGTGGAGGCCCTCGTATCTGGGATTTATCTTCTAGAATTGAAACTTTATAACCTGGAGTGGAGCCAAGCCTCCTGCTTGCTCTGTGGTGGCAGCCATTTCTGTTGGGATTTATATATCTTCTATAATTGAAACTTTGTAGACTGGAGTGGAGGCCAAGGCAGGCCAGGGCTTATGGGGCAACCCTAGCCTCCTGCTCTTTCCAGCTCTGTGGCTGCCGCCATTTCTGTTTAGATTTATTTACCTTCTATCATTGAAACTTTGTAGCCTTGAGTGGAGGCTTAGGTTGGCAAGGGCAGGCAGAAAGCTTGGCTTCCTCCATTATCAGGGAAATCCAAGCCTCCCTCCTGCTCTGTGGCTGCAGCCATCTTGGTTAGGTTTATTTGCATATTTTCTCCTGGTTGGCTTGTGGGCGTGGCTTGTTTGTATAGCAGAGGTGTGGTCAATTTGCATATTACTTCTTTATTAGATAGTATGGAAGATGAGAAAGGAGACTGGACCTTTTAAGGAGATAACCAAGAATTAATGTCCTAATTTTTTCATTATTTTGAGGCATCATAAATTTAGAATAAAGTAGAATGTTTTACAACAAACCTCAAATTTATTTACTGTCTTAAAATAAAAATCAAATTAATTGTCACCCCTAACTTGTCCAGAAATAAAACTAAAATTCAAGGAGCGTTAACTAATTTTTTGTGGAGAGACAACTCCTGAAGAGTTTATTCCTTCCTCTAGCACTCTTTAAGTGGTGAAAACAATGAAAATTGTTAATAGTATGAAGTAAACGTTTGTTATTCTTTTGAATTAAAAAAAAAAAATCAACCTAATGTACTTGAAAAAGGCTTTTTATACATAACTAAAAATGTGTTTTGCTTTAGTGCTTAGAGAACAATCTGATAATCCTATAAACTTTATTATAATCGAATTGAGAAAGCCCTAAACCTGGGTTTTTGCAGTCCAAGCAATGAGAATAACCTGGAGGGCCACGAGTTCTATACTGTGTGCTGTCTGGCATGATTGAAGAGTCTAATGTGATTAAGTGAAGACTTCATCTCCTCTCTCTTCAGATGTACTAATCGGGTCTGTGATTGGCCTGACATTTGCTTATGTCTGCTACCGGCAGTATTACCCTCCTCTGACTGACGCAGAATGCCATAAACCATGTCACAGCAGACTTGTACTTCCTACTGCACAAAAGGACTCTATGAATCCTTATCTACTTGATATTTAGAAATTGGAGCTACCTCAATGGAAAAGAATAGGTGAATCAGCCCCTCTTCTCTGGACCAGGGGAAGACAATTTCCTACCTTTTGACCTGTTAAAAGATACAGGTGAGGAATTAGCATTTCATTGTGTTCTATATAATTATGCAGTTTTGCCCTTGCTCACATGAGTTCACCATGAGGAGTCACAACTTTTTCACTACTGTATGCCACACATTCTCATAAGAGAGCTTTCAGTAATACTCCTACAGCGTACAAATCTGGTTCATAAGATTGGTATGCTAAGACCTACAGAAGTGTTTCTATATATAATGCCTTTTGTTGTTGTTAACCCTCACCAAGGATATTTTTTCCATTGATTTTTAGAGAGAGTTGGGGGGGTGGGGGGGGCGGAGACATCAATGTGGGAGTGACACACACTTCAACGTTGAGGACTGAGCCTCTGACCAAAGTACATGCCCTTGACTGGAATCGAACCCGAGATCCTTCAGTCCATAGGCTGACACTCTGTCAACTGAACCAAACCAGCTAAGACCATGGTCGTGAGCCACACATGGCTCTTTGGCCTCTTGAGTGTGGCTCTTCCACAAAATACCATGTGCGGGCGCGCATGTACAGTGCAATTGAAATTTTGTGGCCCAGGCGCAGAAGTCGGTTTTCGGCCTGTGCGAATTTTTATGAAGAAGTGGCGTTAGAACACTCAAGGGGCCAAAGAGCCGCATGTGGCTCGCGAACCACAGTTTGCAGACCACTGGGCTAGGGCACAAATGCCTTTCTCAGAAGGGTCTTGTCACGAGCCTTTGCATAGTCCTGCTCACTCCTAAAAGCTAGAGTCAGCTCTCAAAACCTCATTTCCCTTGGAGTGGGGGGCGGCCGGGGCGAGGGGCCTGTGGTGGTTCATGACCAACTAGATTATTTTGTTTCCATTTACTTTCTCTGGTGACAATTCCATCAAGCCTTAACGAGGGGAGTATCCGTTTCTGGCTGGTTTAACACTGCTTTGCATATCTTATCCAAGTTCAGCTAGACAGAGGTATTTTTAATACTGTGGACATAAATGATTTGTCAAATTACTAAGTAAACACAATAAAAAAGAAAATGGTTAGAAGTGTGCTTTCAGTGCTAAAAACTGATGACTGTTTCTACCTCATTTGTCCTTACCTGTGCTCATGAGCTTTCTCTCCCTTCATGACTAAAGATGTTCCCAAATGCATCAACTCTGCCAACTGGGTAAGGCAGGAAAGAAAATTACAGAGATCATCATCTGAAGGACAAATCTTTTTCTGTCCCTTCCTCATAATGAAATAAAGGAACAATTACAGGATATAACGGGTGCTCTAGTGTCTACAACTGACTTTCTCTTTGTTGAGATTATATGTTAAATATGACCTTGTCTTTTATATCAGTTTCTATTACGTATTTCCATTGTGTCTTTTCCCTTTATAAATGTGATAAATAAAATGGCGAATGTGTGTTTTTTCTACTGAAGTGTAGCATTTAAGAGCTGGAACATTTTCAGAGTAAAGCATTGGTTTCTTCTTCTGACATAAGTGATTCAACTACAGTAGTGGCTGATTTCTGTAAACTTCTAAGATCAGTCTCAGTATTTGCCTTTACACTGCCCTGTTTTCAACTCTAAACTATAACTGCCTATGACAATGAAAACACCAGGCAAGGGAAAAGAACTTAAATGTTAGTTTTTTGCTCAAAAGTTTTATTTTTTAAAATGTGCTTAGTAAACCATAGGGGAAGAGAAAATGGTTATTATACAGATTTTCTTTATGGTGAATGAACCAGGTAACAGTAGGCAACAAGTAAATATGGTTTTATTTCAGTATTTACTCGAGTTTAAATATAATCATATAAAAAACAGACATTTCAAAAAGTGCAAAATATTACAAAGCTAATCAGTGCTATTGATCTTTCCATGCAAACAATACCAATTCTGGAGTTGTGACTATGTATAAAATGGTACTCTTCCAGAGTTTTAAAATAGGCTTGGTCGAGAGATTGCGCATGACACAAAAGAAATAGTGCAAATAATACACAACTAAAATTCCTCCCATTGACATGCCAACAATAATCAAGGCTCAACTACAACAGGAAGGTATGCAGCCCATACAGGGGATGTATCTGGAGTGCCCAGCTTGGGTGATTGAGGAGGCTATAAAAAACTCACTGCATTAGATCCCTACAAAGCCTGAGAGATGTAGCAGCTCTACTTAATACATAGAAACAACAGGAAAACTACCAAAATGAGGAGACAAAGAAATGAACAAAACTCCAGGGGGGGGAAAAAAAAAAAACTAAACAAAATGGAAATAAGAAATCTAGATGCAGAGTTCAAAACACTGATTAAAAGGTTGCTCAAAGAACTTAGAATTTCAGCAGCATAAAAAACAACATGGAAACCATAAAATAAGAACCAGTCAGAAATGAAAGATATACTAACAAATGAATAATAATTTAGAGGGAATCAACAATAGAATAAAGAAAGCTGAGACTCAAATCAGAGATTTGGACTATAAGGAAGCAAAAACACCGGATCAGAACAGCAAAAGTAATAAAAAAAAATGAGAATAGTGTAAGGAGCTCTGGGGCAACTTCAAGCATACCAACAGCAGCATCATGGGGTGGCCAGAAGGAGAAGAGAGAGCAAGAAATTGAAAATCTATTTGAAAAAATGACAGGAAACTTCCCTAACATGGTGTAGGAGATAGACACACAGATCCAGGAAGTCCAGAGAGTTCCAAATAATATGGATCCCAAAAGACCCACACCAAGCACATCATAATTAAAAAGCAAAATGTTAAAAACAATCTTAAAAGCTGAAAGAGAAAAACAGTTACCTACAAGGAAGCTCCCATAAGACTGTCACCTGATTTCTCAACAGAAACTTCGCAGGCCAAAAGGGATTGGCAAGAAATATTCAAAGTGATGATCGTATAAAGAAGCACTCTCTAGGCCAGAAAAAGCTAAAAAAAAAAAAAGTTAGCACCAAACCAGTATCACATGAAATGTTAAAGGGTCATCTGGAGGGAGAGGGAGAAGAGGGGGGGGGAAAGACCAAAATTGAACAATAAAATGACTGTAATATTTATCAATACTTGAATCTAAAAAACAAAATCAACAAGCAGAATAGAAACAGACTCATAAGTAGAGAACATTTTAATGGTTGCTAGATGAGAGGGAGGTTGGAAGGGATTAACAAGTATAAATTGGTAGTTACAGAACAGTCATGGGGATATAAAGTACAGCATAGGGAATAAAGTTAATAGTCTAGTAATTATGTATGGTGTCATATGGATACGAGATTTATCAGGATGGTCATTTAGCAAACTATAGAATGTCTAGTCACTGGGTTGTACACCTGAAACTAATATTGTATGTCAACTAATTAAAAAATAAAAAATGATTTAAAATATACAACTAAATAAAGGATTTAAATCAAGCTTATTGGGGCTTCCAGGTGAAAAAACCAGAATTCCTTCACAGGCCAGCATGCCAGAGCCCCAAGTTCCAAGACAACAGAAACTTTGTTCAAGACCTGGCCCAATGAAATGTCTTCATCTGGCTGTTAACCAAAGAAGAAATAAGCATATCTGATCTTTCTGGAGATTTGGGGAAGTTACAAAAAATACAGAAAAGAAAAATGGTCACGTTAATAAGACCCGAGGCTTTGTACCCAAAGCTGATGCTGACCAGAACCTAACTGTCTTTAGGGCTAATGATGAAGGGAGTGGACATGCAAGGAAGGAGAGACACCTGAATGCAAAAGCAGCCAGGTGGAGACAATGCACAGGCCAAGGTATGGGGAAGAATGGTGAACTCTCATGCCCTCCTGGCTGTGGGGGCAGCCAATTCTTTCACAATACCTTCACCCACTGCACTGCACCTCCACGTGTTCAACCCAGAAGCTCTCCGAATTGAGTGAAGTTTGCTATGTTATTTAAGAGTATATCTGACACCCATTTGGTCATAATTCTTTAATGTTTCATTGTTATTTACAGCCAGAAAGGCATCCATTACCTTATTACATTGCTTCATGATCAGAATGCTTATTTGTATTATCCTCTAGATGTTTTGTAACTTTTAGAATAGTTTTTTTAAATGAGATATGTTCCCTAAAATGTTAGTAAATTAAAATGTAAATATGGTAACTGTGTAATTACAACCAGTGCAGAGATGACTGGTTTCATATGTAGTCCTGTAAAACAACCTTTACTGACAGTATAACTTTAAAGATAAACATTGATTTATCTACTAAGGACAGACGGAAACTCAGACAATTTTGCAACCACTCAAGCTTGCCTTATTCAGCAGATGTTGAAATTAGTAGATTCTAAACATACTTAGGAATTTCTAGCTCTAAGTTATTTGCCTTCATTACTTTTCTTTATAAAGTTGTACAATTACATAAATAAATATCTGTTTCCAGAGGAGGGAAAAATCAAGCTTATTACCCTCTATAATATATAATCATGATAACATAGGTGAAAACACAACATATAAAGCTCTTCTCCAGTTACTGCCCCAGACCAGCAGGATAGAAACATTTCTTATAACAAGCAGCAGTTTATCCAGTATCTAGAGTTATGCCGTTCATCTTTGGTTATACTCACTCTTGCTTGTTCTTTGGTTTATGCCTAACTAGTACCAATTCTGCTAATATGAAGAGCAAAAGCTTCTCCTCTAATATATGTATTGAATGCTACTTAATTCTCAACCCTTTTTCAAACTCAGAATTTACATACAAAGGAAATAAAGTATTCAGTATTATCTGAAACTACTCAGTGGGTTAGTCATTATTAGTCTTTAAGCAGAAGGGCAAAGAAAGGCCAGGCTCTGAGCTATACCCTGACCTCACCTCTACCATCTCTAGATGACAGTAATTAACTTCCCCCTTCCTTTTTTCTTCAGGAAGGGATAAACACTGCTTTCCAAGGGATGGCTTGAGTGAATGTTAAATACCAGTGCTTTCACAATACCTTGCTACATTTATTATAA